CTAATTCTTGATTATTGTTAAATGAACTTTCAGGTATATTATCTAATTTTAATGTTTGCAAATTCATATTATATGATAATGATTGAGAATGAATTGATGAAATGGGTGGATTAGAATTTGACATCATGAATTTTATTTACTCCATATTTAAAATCTACAAAATAATTGGTTTATTTTATTGTTTTGTTGATTTCATCACTTTTGTCACTTTCGTCAAATTACTCAAAGTGTAAAAATCCTATTTCGTCACCCAACCTTGATTATAACGTTAATTAGAATCAGACTCCTCGCTTCGATTAAAAAACTATCAATGGAGTTTATTATTATATTAATCACAGGACATTTTCCGCAGATATATATGTAGTAACAAGCCAAGATGGCTCAAGTTGAAACTCGAATTTTTTGAGTTTGAGCCAAGTTCAAATCAAAAAATAATAGGCTCAACTTGACTTGATAACTCGAGTTTAATATTTTTTTTTAAGTAACAAATAATTCTACTATATATTTCATTTTATTTATCAAATTCATTACTTAAAAAACAGTTTAAGAGCCTATTTTCTTGAACTTGAAAATTCAAGTTTTGCTTTAAGTTATTTGTTTTCACATCAAATAAAATAAATAAACAAATTATTCAAAATAGTTTGAATAAATGAATAAATGAATAAATGAATAAATGAATCAAATATAATGAATAATTTGAATAAACGAGTAATTCAGCTCAACTAAATAGTAATAAAGACGTTTGTATGCATATACTTCAGAACCTAATAGCATTTTTTATTAAAAGCACAAATAATAGATCATTTAAGATTTTTAGTCTGTCGGATGATGAGTAAAGATATTTTTACAATGGTTTATAAAATTTTGAGCTCGAGATGAGTTTGAATTAGTGCTTTTCTATGTTTAAGCCGAATTTAAGCTAAGGTTGGGCGACGAAAACATTTAGGAGTGTAAAAAATATTTCATCGGGCACGTGTGACGAAAATCAAAGTACAAAACAAAAATCATAAATCGTAGATACTTAATTTTTGTATGTAAAGTTTTAGTATTAATTACTGCTTCACATTTCACGGCTTTCTACAGAATTTGTGATTGTTGAAATGCTTCTTCATTTACTATTTCCGAAAATAAATTATCGTCCATTGATTCGTGAACTTTATTATTATCATCATCATTTCAATCTTTATGACTTTCCAATTCCATATCTTCATCTATTTTATCGTTGTCTTCCAAAAAAAAAAATTTTTCTAAATCCATATCGCAAATTTCTAAATCCTCTGTCTCATCATTATCAATATAACCACTACGATTATCGTTTTAATCATCATCCAAATTAACTTCTGATTCAACCAATACACTCTTTAAATCCTTTTAGATAAAGTCTGGCCGGCATTTTTTAATTCTTTTTTAATATTGCTTTGATAAAAAGAATGAATCTAGCAGTCTCCCTTTATATGCATTCACATCCATCACTATGTAGAACAACTGAGAATAATTTAACTGCTAATTAATATTTGACATTGTGTTTTATTTTTTTACATTTATTTTTGGCATGTGAAGGAAATAAGACATTTTGTCACCCAACCTTAGTATAATTCGGTTCAGTTTTGCTTGTTATAAATAATAAATATAATAAATTATTTTCGCTGATAATATAATTTATATGTAAACCTTTGGTTATTCATGCTCTTTTTTATCCTGCAAGCCAAGAATGTTCTGATATATCTGTTCACAGAAAATTAACAGTTTTCCACAAAGAGGACATTCATTATGATAAATGACAAAACAAATCATAACCAGCAATTTCCTATTTTTTTGCAGCATTAAACCATTTTCTGTCGCGTGAAATTTTGATTGACAAAGAAAACTAATTACTTTAGAAAGTGTAAACGCAAACAGCTCATGACAAGAAGAAAAGAAAGCTGGTGAGACCATTGATCGCCGAGCGTATGCGCCAGTCTAATTTTGAATTATTTTCTAGTAAAAGTAAGGTTTTGATATAAAACAACCGGATGGTGGGTGGTATTTGAGAAGGAAATTATGTTATAAACAAACAAATAAATATTCTACAATTCAATATTTTATTTAAAGATATGGAGACCACTAAATGAAACTTATAAACAACATTGGCTTTATTCGAGATCCTTTTTATATCTCCTAGATTTATTTATAAAATTTAAACCCTGGAATATTTACGATGATATTACGCGTCACAAAATTTCACATTTAATTCATAATTTTCTTTAACTAGATAGCCATAATTAAATTTTAATTTTAAAAAAGCAGAATTAGCTACAAATCAAAACATTTGAAACATATGGTTATGTTGTACGTGCAATTCACGTATGTAAATTATATCAATATGATAAAAATTAAAATCGGAAATTTTTCTTTAAAAAGAATTTATTTAAAATATTTTCACTTAGGAAGCACTCACAGAAGATATGATTGTTGTTATCCAGCAATCAGAGAATTAACAATCCTTTTGAAAATTTGCTGGTCTATATATCTTGGTTTGAAATTAAACGGTGAGATTAACTTGCATATTTATTGGATAAATCTTTTAGAATACCTGCTAATATTTCAATAAATTAAATTTGTTTGCCTATTTCAAGCTGTACAACAGAGTAAAGAGGATTAAGCATATTCAGAAATAGTTTGAAGACTGCAGAGATAACCATGTAGTAACGAATGAAATCTTTCTTTTATGATGCAGAAAAAATGTTAAAACAACGGAATATATTGTATTTTAACTAATAGTATTGTAGTGTTGAAGTTAAAAAATTATTTTAAAAAAATTGCACGCAATAATAAATTGTTTCCAAGAATTCTAAAAATAATTTTTCTATATTACCTATTGAAAAAAATATTTATCTAAAAAATGATAATTCATTAAATTTATCTAATATAGAAATACGGTTATCTATCAGGCGTCCAACACTCTAAATTTAGTCATCTGATTTTAAACCTTTCAAATTGGAAAAAAAAACCATCTAAAAACGTCTAAAGAATGGCCTTTACTTATTGATATGAAAACGCACAAAAAATATTTATCTAAATAATGAAAATTACACACACACACAAAAAAAAAAAATTTATCTAAAGAATGATTTTTCATTTATTGGTACGCCCATCTCTAATCAATTCAATCCTTTTTTTTCTCTTTCAAAAAAAAAAAGATTATATAAAATTAGTCAAATGATTATCTGTATAATCTAAGGAACAGGAGATTTTTTCTCGTGATATAAGCGCATCCAGAATTAGCGAAGTTGTATGAAAGAAAACTTGTTACGCAACATGAATGTCTCCGGTGACTGTTGATTTTTCTTTTTTCCCGTTAAATGATATCGAGATCATTTTCCTGTGATTTATCCAACCAGAAATAAGGTTGCCATTTGAGTCATAAACTAATTTTAAGTCTCAATCTTTGTCGTAAACAAAATTAACATCCTGTTTATTCACAATACATATTCGTATCCAGAAAATATTTGGACTTTCATACTGAAGGTAGTCATCAGTGTTGTGACCCGAAACTCTGAGTTTAGGGAAAACCCGAAACAGAAACTAACAGAAACCACCCGAAACTAGTTTAGGTTAGTAGTTTAGTTTTAGGTTTAGTTTTCTGCTTAGTGTAAGTTCATTTTCCAAAACGTTTCGGGAAGCCAAAAGAGTTTCTGGTCACAACACTGGTAGTCATACAGGCCGAAAATTTACATACCATTTAAATAATGATGGATATTTGATAAAATTGACAAATAGTCTACAGGACAAATAGAATGGACCCATGTGATAATGGGTATTAATTCATATTTTTTATACCACCCTTGATTATTGTTTCTGGTTTCGAGATGGACTTGATATTCACAATAATGATGTTATTAATGTGTCATCAGGTTATTACTGGATGATTTTATTTGAAATCATGATAATATTGATATTGATCAATTTTACTTAAATCAATAAAAATATATTGTGTGATTAATTTTATAAATGGATCTAAATTCCTTGCATGATAAAATTGAGATACCTGAAAGGAAAAATTTGAAAAGTTGAAATATGATAAAAAAGTGAAAAGGGACGATAAATTTTTATTTAACTATATATTATTGATTCCCAAAAAGAATTCAAGAGAAAATTTAATAAATATAAAATTAGCATTTGTAAATCGAACTGACTATCACCTGACTTTTCAACAAATCTATTATTCTCTACATTTCGTGAAATTGACGCATTATATTGTTTCATCACATTTCATCAGGTATCATTAAAATGAATTATGTGATTAATTCAATTATTAAGACAATGATCATAAATTTAGTGGTGTATTATGAAAAATATAATTTTCAGTATACACAATGAGTCAATATTTGCTTTGCAACCCTTCTAACATTGGATCTGTTTCTGTAAGCTAGACCTCAAATCATTGTTGTGACCAGAAACTCTTTTGGCTTCCCGAAACGTTTCGGAAAATGAACTTACACTAAGCAGAAACTAAACCTAAACATAAACCTAAACATAAAATACTAACCTAAACTAGTTTCGGGTGGTTTCTGTTAGTTTCTGTTTCTGGTTTTCTCTAAACTCAGAGTTTCGGGTCACAACACTGTCTCAAATGAATTGTAATTATCAGACTTGAATTAAATAATCGTTCGCATTGCATAATGTAGTATTGGTGCGGCAAAACCATCAGTGTTGTGACCAGAAACTCTTTTGGCTACCCGAAACGTTTCGGAAAATGAACTTACACTAAGCAGAAAACTAAACCTAAACTACTAACCTAAACTAGTTTTGGATGGTTTCTGTTAGTTTCTGTTTCGGGTTTTTCCTAAACTCAGAGTTTCGGGTCACAACACTGAAAACCATTCGAGTAATGCATCAGAGTTAATCTATGAGGGGCTTTTGAGCTTCGTGTGCTTCAGATGCATGAGTGGCACACAATATTATGCAAATCCTGTTGTAAGATTTTAGAAATGCATTGCTCAAGATTAATTAACTAAATTACCGGAAAACTTTGCTGATCAAATCCATTGCTTGGTACCTGTGTTGTGACTAGAAACTCTTTTTGGCTTCCCGAAACATTTCGGAAAATGAACTTACACTAAGCAGAAAACTAAACCTAAAACTAAACATAAACCTAAGCATAAACTACTAACCTAAACTAGTTTCAGGTGGTTTCTGTTAGTTTCTGTTTCGGGTCACAACACTGATATACATACATTTTAGTTATTGTTTTTGTTTGAAAATGGTGACAGAGAATTTGATAAATGATTTATATTTAGCATAGTCTCTTTATATATGTTGTATGTGAAATTGAAATATTATGGAGGGGGTAAAATTCTAATTGGCTAATTTGAATTTCACGTATGTAAAGTTGAATTTCACATATGTGAATTGCGAATTCACATAATTTCACTTTCACGTACAACATATACATAAAGTTTAATAATAAATCCGGTTTTATTATATCCGGTTTATCGATTATGAATAATAGGAACCGGTTTTAAGTCGATTGTACTCAAACCGGTTCCAACCTCTAGCACTAGTGCATAAAAGATTAACTATATATGTATTTTTATTTTAAATAATAAATCACCATAAACAAAAGATTAACTGTTTATATATTTATTAAATCTACAATTATGTTTGAATAAATTCTTATATAATAAATGAAATTTCAAAATGCCGAAATTTATGAACAAAAATAAGAAAAAAGTAAATCATTTATTAACAATGACAACAACGAAGAAATTAGTTATTTTATTCGTCTCTATTATTATGATTTTTGTTTCAACATCAACATCCTTATGCTCTTCGTGTTCGTGGTGTGAACCTGTTGGTTCAAATTGCGATGGCCAATTTTATTGTAGTAAGTATTTTATTATAGTAATAGTGTAATTTTTTTAAACTACTATTAATTTCTTTGAAATTATTTAGGTGATTGTGGGTGCGAAGGTCTTCATAGTTTCTCTTCCTGTGCGTGTCAGAGCTACGCAGATCCCGAACCAGCCGGTAGTATAACTTGGTATCGAGGTTATAATTGTGATTGTACAGGATGTAGTTAATTAAACTAAAAACGAACTTCATGTATTTTTTAAAAAATTTTAAATAAAAATTCGAATATTTAAATATAAGATATTTGACCGCCAATGGCACAGTGTTGTGACCGGAAACTCTTTTGGCTATCCGAAACGTTTCGGAAAATGAACTTACACTAAGCAGAAAACTAAACCTAAACCTAAACATATACATAAACTACCTAAACTAGTTTCGGGTGGTTTCTGTTAGTTTCTGTTTCGGGTTTTCCCTAAACTCAGAGTTTCGGGTCACAACACTGCAATGGCATAGTTTTGATGCTGAAGGTAAGGTAAAAGATGAAAAATCCTCTCCATAGGT